GTCTGTTAATCTGCCTTTTGTTCCCCCAAAATGTACAGTAATTCCATTTCTTGTTTGTATAAGTATGCCTGAATTTTTATTATAAAAATGTCATTGTAGGAAGTAGAGACTCGTATTATGACCTTTTAAATATTGTAATAAAGGCAAATGGATATTTGCCCTTAGTTTACTGGTTAAAAGTTTGTTTACAGAAATTTTCTTTGGTGCTTTTATGTAAAATGCCGTGGGTGGAAAGAATAGTTTTACAGTAGGAACAAAGATTTTTTTTCATTTGGGAAAAATATCTTTGGTTTTGAGAGAACAAATTAAAACCTTGCCCCAGCTAGATAAGAATTTTATAATGAAGATACACATTCTTTTTTTTTTTTTTAACATTCTTCTTAGTTTACTCTTACTCTTGGTAAAATTTGACCAAGTTTTATTTTAAGCTGTGTTTCTTTCATAGAAGGACCGTGAAAATAGAATAATGATAATAGTAGAAGGTGTAAGGGGTTGGTTTGGTCTTTTTCAACATAGAAGTTGCTGAGATTTTTAAAATTAATATTAGACTTAGATTGTAACCTTTTAGATTTTGCATTGAACTGTGTCACATTACTTCCTAAAAGGTAATGCTTAAACATTAAATTATAGTGTGCTCTTCATGTTAATAAGGCAGAGTTTTGTAAGCTAAATTAAAACTTCTTGATGCCCGCCCAGTGTGACTCAGTGATTGAATGTCGACCCATGAACCAGGAGGTCACACACCTGGGTTGTGGGCTCCATCCCCAATGGGGGGAGTCATGCAGGAGGTACCAATTGATGATTCTTTCTCATCATTGATGTTTCTATTTCTCTCTCCCTCTCCCTTCCTCTCTCTGAAATCAATAAAAACATTAAAAAAAAAAGAAATAGATCATTAAAAAAAAAAAAAAGGACCTATTGAGGTATTGGTCTCTAAGCCAAGGGAAAGAATACTATCTTTCAAGATATCTTAAGTGTAAAAGCTTATTCTAAGACATTTTGCCCAATGAGGTTATCAGATCTCTGACCTGCAGTATGCTTTGTGCTTGGAAATAACTGGAGGAAAAGCAGATGCTAGAATTCTAATTTAAGTAAATATATAGTAGTCTTTGTTTATTCTTTATATTTTGTACAAAAAAAACCCTAGTTCTTTTGGTAGAATGAATTACAGTTTGGTTGTGGACTATAAGTCAAAAGATTTTCCTTTAAATGCTGGTTTCTATTTTAATCTGGTATTTTGTACTTTTCTTCACAAGAAATACATTAAAAGGTTTGGTTGCATAAAGTGGTGTTTATCCTAATGGACTTGAAATAAATTACAAACTTTATTTTGCCTTTAACTTTTTTATTTGAAACTTTTAGATTTCAGAGGTTGCAGTCTAGTAATGGAGTAGCTTGTATTGGATTAACTCTCTTGCCAACAATTGTAAACTTTGAATAAAATATAAAAGACTAGAGAGCAAACAGGCATCAACTGCACAAACTAATGTACTAGCTTTTACCCAGAGGGAAATTTCCAGTTTGTGCAGTGTGCTTGGAAATAGAATGTGACAGTCTTGCTCAGCTGAGGGATTGTTAGGGTCTTCTAGAACAGCTGGAAATTAGGAAGGAAATCTTGAAAAGGAGAGAGCTTCAAACATATAAGCCCCAAAATCTGTCTACAGATTCCTTTCAAATTGTACTTGTGAAAGGATTTGGAGATAGGAGAGGCAGTTAGGGAAGGGTCCATGGGAAAGGAATGCATACGTGAAGGACTGAAGGACGGAGCCAGCTCCAATACCACTACAGTGTTTATCTTACAAAAGGAAGGGTGAGAACCTGGTGAGCTTGGAAACTTTGAAACTGGTACTAGGCAGGGAAAGGGGGAAATTGGCCAATTAGGGGAAAACACGAGGCCATAAAACGAGGAAGGGTCCAGTTAGAAAGCATGTACAAAGAAGCTGTCAGCATTTTATAAACCCTTAGACAAAGACTCACTGGGTCTTTTTCCCATTTTGGGGACCCCTCCCCAAGGGGAGATTTTATATGCCTGCAATAAATTTCCATGCTTTTGCTAAAAATCTTTTAGTCTGAGATTGTTTATTCACACTTCATAGGACAAGAACCTGGAATCCAGCTTGCCATTCTGGGTATCACTTGTGCAATGTAATATTCAGAGGAACCCAGCAGAAAGCAATAGTTGAATTTAAGGAAATGAGTAGAGGTAGCAACTGCTGGGGTAATACAGTTTGAAATTAAAATTCCACTAAAAGGAGTGTATACTTTGGGATACCCATTGAAACCAAAGAGCCGTACCTTAGGAGGAAGGACAACAACCCAGAACTAAGCACTGTACGTTAGGACTTTGGACAAAATGGAAAGAAACTCATTGTAACAAAGTTTAAAATCAATCTTTCACAGCATCCAGGCTATACAGTGAGCTTGATTTTTCTTACTGTCAGAGAAAGTTATTACTTATGAATTCAAAAAGGGCAAAACCTAAAATGAAACCTGTGGGGTTCGGTTGAAATTGGATTTAAGAGTATGAATTCATGCCCTGGCCAGTTTTGCTCAGTGGATAGAGCATTGGCCTGCGGACTGAAGGGTTCCAGGTTCGATTCTGGTCAAGGGCACATGCCTGGGTCACAGGTTCGATCCCCACAGGAGGCAGCTGATCCATGATTCTCTCTCATCAAATGATGTTTCTATCTCTTGCCCTCTCCCTTCCTCTCTGAAATCAATAAAAAGATACTTTTTTAAAAAAGAGTATGAATTCATGATTGAAGACAAAAGTAGATAAGTGTAGAGACATGAGAATGTACATATATGCTCACATACGTATATTCTCTAATTCTCTTCATTGAGTTCTCATGGCTTGCCTTCAAAATTCTTCACTGTCTTATTCTGCTAAAGCGGCCACATTTTTACATGTTTTTTAGAGCAGCACCTCATTTCTTGTTATCAAAATCTTAGTCTACTTGGGCTAAGTATCACAGAGTGGGTGGCTTAAATAACAGAAGTTTATTTTCACAGTTCAGAATGGTGGCAAATCCCAGATAAAGGCCTATTTGGTTTCTGGTGAGAGTTCTCATTGGCTTGCAAATAGCCACCTTCTTGCTGTGTCCTCATGTGGCTGAGAGTCAGCAAGTTCTCTGGTGTCTCTGATGAGGGCACTAATCTACCATCATGAAGGTCTCATCCTCATGACCTCATCAAACCCTGATTGTCTCCCAAAGATCCCACATCCAGATACAATCACATTGGGATATAGGGCTTCAATGTACAAATTTTTAGGGGGAACACAAACATTCTGTCCCATAAGGAACAAGGGTTCCTTGGTGAAATGGCCAATTCCAGGGTTGGGGCAAAGAACATAAAATGGTAGGCACAAGTAGTTTACAGTCGTGAGTATACAAAACAGTTTATTCTTGTATTGTTTATTATTGTATTTTTATATGTATAACTGTAAACCTACTTTTGTTTCCTCCTGTACATGATGAACCTGGGATATCTTGTGCCAGAAAAGAAGTTCTCAGACTGGCTAGGATGACCCTGGATGTTGTGACTTGGTTGGAACGTCCTCCCATGCATGCGGTGTTCTGGGTTTGAGTTCCAGTCAGGGCACATACTTAGGTTGTGGGTTTGATCCCTGGTGGGCCTGGAGTGGAGGCAACTGATGGATGTTTCTATCTCTCCCCCTCTCCCTCCTTCTCTTTAAAATCAATAAAAACATACCCTTGGGTGAAGATTAAAAAAAAGATTGGTATGGATGAATCATTGATTGGAATGGCTCCCACTGGACAACTTTGAACATCAAAATAAGTAATTATAGTAGTGGATTATAATCCATCAGGTAAAATAAACCATAAGCCAATGTGGCTATACAAATACTATATAAATTATACATATATACAAGAAGATACATATATAAGAACTAATTGAAAGTGTGATGAAGAATGAGATATTGTCCTAGCCAGTTTGGCTCAGTGGACAGAGCGCTGGCCTGCAGACCAAAGGGTCCCAGGTTCAATTCCAATCAAGGGCACATACCTCGGTTGCAGACTCCTCTCCAGCCAAGGCCCTAGTTGGGGCTGTGCAGGAGGCAATTGATGTTTCTCTCTGTCAACATTCTTTCTAAAAATCAATGAAAAAAATATTCTCCAGTGAGGGTTAAAGAGAGAGAGAGAGAGAGAGAGAGAGAGAGATACATACATGGTTTCAAAGTACATCTCCAGCCCTAGCCAGTTTGGCTCAGTGGGTAGAGCGCCCTCCCGCGGACTGTAGAATCCAGGCTTCGATTCTGTTCAAGAGTATATACCTCGTTTGCATGCTCAATCCCCAGCCCCAGTCGGGGCACGTAGGGAAGGCAACCAAAAGATGTGTCTCTCACACATCTATGTTTCCCTCTGTCTCTCCCCCTTCCTTCCACTCTCTCTAAACATCAATGGAAAAGAGCCTCAGGTGAAGATTAACAACAACAAAACATAAGGTTATCATTTTAAAAAAGAAAAAGTACACCTCCACAAAATATTAATTAGAAAGGGAAAGATATTTTTAGTGGAAAAATATAGCAGAGGTCACCTTAATCTAATGGTGAAAATTATCAATGGGCCACATTTCAATAATGGGTTCAATGAGAAAAATGCAGGATCACCTCTGTAGCATTCCCGTCCAAGATGTATAACCTGAATTTACGCCAGAAGCACGCTACAAAATAACTGCCATGTAATTTCCCAAAACGGTACTATCAAGAAAGTCAAGCAAAACCTTTCCATACCGAAGGGATTAAACAGAATGACAACGGCACGCCACCCGTGGTTGAGACCTAGTTGTTTCGGATCTTAACCCTCCACCCCACTCCTTGATAGGCTAGGAGTCGCTCTAGCTGGCTCCTCCGCCTCTATGGAACGCCAGGGCGGCGGAGAAGAGGGGGTGTGGGAACCGGAAGCCGGGGCACGCACTTCCGTCCCCGCCTCGCTTGCAGCCAATCGGCCTCTGACGCTCCACCCCTTCCGCTCTAGGGAAACACCAGCTCCCAGAGCGTCTTCCGGCGGGAGCGGGGCCGCTCCTTACCATGGTGAGTTGGCCGGGGGGTGGAGGGTTTCTGTAGGTGTTTCCTCCTATTCTCTCTCGTCCTGCAGCCGCCGGAATGCCGCAGCTGCGCGGAGGAGGGGTCGTCGGAGTTGTGCTCGGGCCCCGGGGAGAGGCGGCTGGCGCCCGAAGGATTTGTCCCCGGAGCTCTGATTCCTCCGCGCTCCCTCACCTTGTTCCTTTGCCCCCGGTGGCCCCGGGCGGCTCCAGGCCGAGCTTTCGGCTCCTGGCTGTTGATGGCTTTCTCCTGCCGAGATTTCCTTCGTATACAAATAAGTCTTTGCGGACGCCAGCGCCTGCAGCACCGACTAAAGATCGGAAAGCAAGTGCACAGCAGAAACGACCGTAACAGTGATGTTTACAGCAGGGACGCTAGCAGTGGCATAAGCAGAGGGTGATGAGTAGCGTATCGAGGCCGATACCCACTCTGCAACCTGCCTTTATTGGGTGCCAGGTGGCCTGATTCGGCAGCAGCTGTCAGCAGGCCAGTGAGTGGAGAAAGTCGAGGTGGTAGAGCATCGAATGGCAGCCAGCTTTTTCTGTGATTGTTAACCCCAGAACACCTTGTGGCTTGGGGGATGTGTTAAATCTAAATCTTATTAGGTGGATTCGCCATTTCGTGCTTGTAGAAATCAAGTATGTAGTACTCCGAATCTTATCTCAAGATAAGCCGTTGATTGTGATTTCAGCGTCAAAAGAAGTACAACATATTTTATTTAAAAAGTTATTGGACCCCTTATGGATAGCCTACAGGTGAGAAGAGGACCACATGTCTGTGCCTAAGCCATTGTCACTCATAATTAAATTTTCTTGAATGAATATGGTTGGAAAAATGTTCACATCCTCTATCTTTTGGAAATTTCCTGTAATCCCTCCTTACACACAGAAAGTGGGTAAATAGCCCTAGTTGGTTTGGCTCAGTGGACAGAGCGTCAGCCTGCGGACTGAAGGGTCCCAGGTTCGATTCCAGTCAAGGGCACATGCCCGGTTGTGAGCTCGATCCCCAGTGGGAGGGCATGCAGGAGGCAGCCGATCATGATTCTCTCTCATCATTGATGTTTCTATCTCTCTTTCCCTCTCCCTTCCTCTCTGAAATAAATAAAAGTATATTTTTAAAAAATGAAAGTGGGTAAACGTTTACCTTTTGGCTGACCAAATAGCCTCCAGTTGCACTCTCTTCAAAACATTCACCACTGTGCAGCCAGAGTTAAATTTATAAGATTTGACTATGCCACTCTTTTGCTTAAAGTTCTTCAGTTTTTTTCTATAGCCCTCAAGATAAAGTACTGTTTAGCATGACCTGCAAAGCCATCTGTTGTGAAGCGTCTTACTGTTACAGCTTCCATTTACTCATTCATACATCTATATTCCAGCCGCAGTGAGCTGCTTGCAGATCTGCTGTAGAATTAGGCCTTTGCACCCAATTTGTACTTGCTATTCTACCTGCCAGAATCATTCATCTCCTATCCCCCATCCTTATCGGTATAACCCTTACACGTTAGTTAGTCTCTTTCATGAGCCTTTCTGCCATGGGTCAAGATTCTGGTAGGTGCCTCCTTTATGCTTCCATGATAATGTGGGGCTTTATACCAATAATATCTATAGCCCTTACCAGGCTATGGTAAAATTGGGTATTTACTTGTCTTTCTTACTTTCCAGACTGTAAGTTCTTTAAGAGCAGGACCAATGGATGCACTCCTATTACCACAGCTTTGTACAGTGCCTGGTCCTGTTTTATAAAACACTGAATAAATAACTGTGGCACTAAATTTTTATGCTTAAAACAGTAATACAGGGAAATAGAGCATTTAAGGTTTATTTTTAAAGTTTTGGGGAAGAAATCTTATCAGTCCCCCATTATGTATTATTAAAGACATGCTATGTATGCGTAAAGCACAGTGCTATGTTAGAAAATGTAAAGGAAATATAACTCTAGTCATTAGTGAAGTTACTAAAAAATTAACTTACATTGCAAGATGACGAGATGAAGGCTATCCCATGGTTAAGTTCGAAGTAAGCATAAAAAAGACACTGTAGTTTAGAATATCTAGAAAGGCTTCATGTAGGAAGTGAAACATGGCAATTGAGCAATCCTGCCTTACTCTAATACTCTGAATCTACTATAGGTTACTTGATCAGGAAACAGGCCAAGAAGCTTGCTAAGTGTTACAGGGCTGTTAGAGCTTGGGCTAGACAAGTCTTGCCTTTTCACTTGAAAGTGGTATAATCATCATACATGAGGTACAACTGTCGAGTTAGAGTTGTGGATTCCTATTTGGAGCAAGAGATAAAACAAAAGAAACAGGCTAAATAATTGAAAGCTTTAATTTCCACATTTTAAAGTTTGAAGTTTATCCTAACAGCAATGGAGAGCCAATATAATTTGGGAGTGACCTGAATGTTAGGATTTTTATTTTATTTTCAATATCAGATTGGCATTAAAATGGCCCCCTGTGTTTTATTCACTTTCATTGTCTTAAAACTGAAATAATTGAAAGTGGGCTGAAGTTAGAAGATACCCAGTGATAACAGTAATAAGCAGAATTCTCTTTGGAACCAAAATATCCCACACGTAATTCTTTAAGAACAGAATATACTGATTAGCATTTATTACCATTCCAAAGGAAAATAGTATATTTTCAACTGAATTGGCTTAGCACTTTAGGGTTATATACTTAAAGTACTTTTGATTTATTATTTTTTTATTATGGAAAACTTCAAACATACATAAAGTAGAGAAAATATAATGAGTTTTAACCTGATACCCAGTTCCACTGCTTTCCATGGAGCTTCAGTGTTTGAGTCAAATTGGACAACGTTAGTAAGCTAGAAATGTAGTATATTGTTAAGGTGAATATGACCTTTACCATCTAGGAAAGTATTTTGTTAAACCCAAATGTGGCACTTTGCAATAAAATTATGTATGACAATTGAAAATTATGAAGGATTTTTTTTCCCCCTAAAGACAGTTGCTTTTGATTTTTTTTCCCCACAGTTTATCTTTCCAGGGTTTTTGTTTGTATTTAGGGTATTGTTTTCCAATGTGAAAGTTATAGTAAAACTGATCGATTTTTTCCTTCCTAGCTTCTTGGTTTTATATCCTATTAAGAAAAGTCTTCAGCTGGTTTGGCTCAGTGGATAGAGCGTCGGCCTGTGGACTGAAGGGTCCCGGGTTCGATTCCACTCAGGGTTCGATGCCCAGGTTGCAGGATCGATCCCCAGTAGGGGGTGTGCAGGAGGCAGCCGATCGATGATTTTCTCTCATTATTAATTTCTCTCCCTCTCCCTGCCTCTCTGAAATAAATAAATAAATAAAAAGAAAAGTCTTCTCCAACTCCAAGATTGTAAAATTATATATTAGTAGTTTCTTCAAATACTCTATAGTTTTGTATTTTAATTTTAAAACAATAAAAAAATTTTAAATCTAAATAAAATTTAAAAAAGAAAAAAAATAAAAATAAATTAGAGTAAGGGGTATAGTAGGGATCCAGATTTACCTTTTCCTAAACACCATTTATTGATTAACTCATATTTTCTCCCATGATGTTGGGATGCCATAATCATAAGCTAATTTTCCATGTGTGCTTGAACTCTCCTTTATGCTAAGGCTTTCCCACATGGTTTCCTGATCTTGAATAGTTAACCCCACTCTAGTCACCACTCAGTCTCTTCTCTGATGGATAACCCCACTGCCAGGCCCTTTCTCTGCTAGCCCCAAACCATGTGCTAGCAGGAGCCACGGACGTCAGGTACTTTGAATGCCTAAGAAAGAGCCTCAGAGGCTTCACTATAGTAAGTTTTACCAACCCTTTCATATATAAGTTTTGATTAGGTAAATTGAAATATTTTCTTTCCAGTAGAGCCGTTTAACAAACTTTTTGCTTTTCTGGTTCAAAATTGCCTTATCCAATGAAGTATGGTCTGGAGCTAAAAGGTCTGGCTTTGAATTTCTCATCAGCCATTTACTATCATTGTGCCCTTGGAAAACTTACTAAAATTTTTTTCCACCTCCTGGAATTATTGTGGGAGTTAAATAGATAAATATATGTCAGGTGTCTAGAATAAGTGGCACGTATTGAGCATTCAATAAATGTTAGTTGTTATTACTATATTACATCACAGAACTATGAAGAATAGGTACTTAAATACTGATTTGTGTATTTTTGTTTGTTTTAAAGGGGACAATTCATCTCTTTCGAAAACCACAAAGATCTTTTTTTGGAAAGGTATTACAGGAATTTGGACTTGTAGCAGCTGACAGAAGGGTAAGTTATTTTTATTCCTTAACCTAATTTTAATATTTGCACAAACATGACATTGAAAGAAAAGGTGATTTTTAAGGCAAATAGAATCTCTTAATCCCACCACAACCCGGGCATCAAGAATCGAACCATGATCTCCTGTTTCATAGGTCAACATTCAACCACTGAGCCCGCCAGCTGGGCATATCTGCTTAATTTTAATATCTCCAAATAACTGCCTTCTCACTAATTTCTTACAACTCTACTTTCAAATAATCATACTTCTCCTTTCCTTGTAGGGAGTGGAGTAGGACAAAAATGAAAAACACTTCACTTGATCTCTTCTTTTTTTATTTTTAGAATGCCCTTCCTTCTTCCTCTAATTAATTCCTAGCTATTTTCAAGGTGTATATCAGGTCCTCTCTCTTCTATGAACTTCCAAACTGTGATAATCTTTCCCCCTTATGTGGTCCTACTGCATATAACTTATTGGGAAATAACTAAGTACTGCCCTTTGGGGAGGGGTGGGTAACTTTATTTTGATATAATTTCAAAGTTACAAAATTAGTATAAGAAATTCCCTTATGCCCTGTACTCAGTTTCACAATTGCTTACATTTTTGCTCCATTTGCTTTATCACTGTCTTTATGTACATTTCTTATGGAAACAAAATGATACTTGAGTTTATGTGTCAGAATTTATGTATGTATGTATGTTTGTATTTATGAATTTACTAGAGGCCCAGTGCACAAAATTCGTGCACAGGTAGGGTCCCTAGGCCTGGCCAGCGATCAGGGCTGATGGGGAACTTCCAGCTGCCAGCCAGGGCCTTCCTTCCACGCCGCCCCCTGGTGGTCAGTGCATATCATAGCGAGCTGTCAAACTCCCTGTCGGTCAAACTCCTGAGGGGACAATTTGCACATTAGCCTTTTATTATATAGGATTTTATTTTTGTTAATTTTCACCCGAAGATATTTTTTCCATTGGTTCTTATAGAGAGGGGGGAGAGACAGAGAGAGAGAAACATCGATGTGAGAGAGACACATCGATTGGCTATCTCCTGCACTCACCCTGACTGGGGTCAGGGATCGAGCCTGCAACCGAGGTACATGCCCTTGACCGAAATCGAACCTGGCACCCTTTAGTCCACAGTCCTACATTCTATCCACTGAGTCAAACTGGCTAGGGTTCAGAATTTATTTTTTTCATGAGTAATTCCCCTTTTGGAATTATTCTTTTACATTTATATGTTATAATATATACAACTTGGTTAATGATAATTTTGATAAATTTAGAAAATGTGACACTCTGACATTTGAAGTAAGTTGCACTTATTCCTTTGAATATTAAAAGTATGAACTATAGCAACTTGAACAGATTTGGTGAAATTTATCAGCAGTATGCAAATAAGAATGATTTTCTTTTTCACAGTCCTGGAAGATATTGCTGTTTGGTGCAATAAACTTAACATGTACTGGCTTCCTGCTTATGTGGTGCAGTTCCACTAATAGTATAGGTATGTCACCAATCTTACTTTTATTGTGTTAATCATTAGTTTTCACTTTCGTTCTTTTATTTATTTATTTATTTATTTATTTATTTATTTTTATTGATTTCAGAGATGAAGGGGGAGAGAGAGAGAGAGATAGAAACGTCAACCATGAGAGAAAATCATTGATCAGCTGCCTCCTACACACATACCTGCCCTCCCTCAGTGGGGATCAAGCCTGCAACCCAGGCCCTAACCAGGAATCAAATCGTGACCTGATTCATAGATTGACGCTCAACCACTGAGCAACACTGACCGGGCTACTTTTATTATTCTGATTTTTAAAATTGATTTGTGAGAGAGAGGAAGGGAAATAGAGAGAGAAACATCAATTTATTGTTCCACTTACATGTTCCCTGATCAGGGATAGAACCCACAACCTTGGCGTGTCAGGATGATGCTGTAACTAATTGAGCTACCCAGCCAGGACTTATGATTCTGATTTTTAGTAAAGGTACAGCTTCCTTTACCTAGAATATATTATTCTGAAATATAACTAAAAAAATTTAAATGGGAAAAATCTATATGAAAATTGCCTTGAAAACTATTGTTTTGCTCAATTGTTAGGCATTATCTTTTGGAATGAGCTATATTTTTTTTAAATACTTTAAATCTATTTGAAAAATTAAGATTCCTTCTTATTGTGATATATTAGTACTTTGGTCTATGCAGTTTATAAGTAGAATTTTGAGACTTAATTGGATTTTTTTGAAAAAAGAAACCATGTAATTTTTTATTGTGTCTTGACCTCTTATATTTTTATGTACCATGCTTTTTCATCCTGCTACTCAAAGAATATATTTTAATATATTAGATCAAGTGCTTCAGATGACAGAAGAAGGCAAAAAAATGTGCTCACAGGTCTTTTGAGCATATACTGCTTTATTTAGAATTTAACTTCTAAAGGAGCTTTTGTACTAACTTTGACTACATATATTAATCAAATTTACTAAATAAATGGCAAATTATTCAGTTAATGAATGACTCAAATTTCTATGGTGTGGGGAGGTAATGAACAATTTTTATGATTTGCTATATTTCTTAACCATGGATTCAGTAACATTTTAATTGTTTTGCAGCTTTAACTGCCTATACTTACCTGACCATTTTTGATCTATTTAGGTAAGTTTTTAAAAATCTAATATTTTGAAGCTAATAAATAATTTGTCACACTGTTTTCTTTGTTTAAAGAAAAGTAATCTGTGAAATAAGTAAAATTATCAATATAGAACATATATACAAAAATAAATTAGCATAAATACTGGAAGAAAATATCCCATTTACATAGCAACAGAAAAGATAATATCCTGGCATTAGATCAGGTGCTTCAGTGCCTACCTGTGGGTGAGTCAACTGTGGCTAGGGAGCAGGGTCACATAAGAACATATTAGGTCCCACTGTAACTGTATATGGAGAAACAAATGAGGGGCATTAGTAGCTAAGAAGTGAGTAATTATGAGCTAGAGAGACAATCTGTTGGCTCCCTGCTCCATGGGGCTGTTCATATTTCCATATAAGTGTTGCAAAATACTTTTATATCTTCAAGATCCATGCCATACAACTATGTCATAAGGGTGTCTTTACATTAATCACATAATTAAGTCCACTTGATTGGTCTAAAACCATCTGAATTGAATTACCTGAAATTTACATGTAGTAAGTTGTTTTAGAGTGAATCTCCACTACACTTAGAAAATGATCATTTTGTCCCATACAGAATGTTGTCAAGGTGTTGTTAATATTTAGCTTACATTTTATCAAAGATTAAATAACGTTTATAAAAGTTAAGATTTATTGTATATGCCTAGAATGAAAATTACTGTGTCATTTTTTGCATGCTCAGTTATGGAAACTATTTAGGGTGGATAAGTTAATGAGCAGAGAAGGTATGGATTTAGGTTCTGTTTAACCAACTTGATGATGTATCATCCTCTTTCAGTTTCTCCACATGTTAAAACTGCCATGTATTAGGATGCTCATTGTGAATAGATTATAACTTATTAAATAAGTTAATTTAGTCTGTATAAATAGTGATAACTTTCAGTAATTTAGTAATTCTGAAAACTTAATTTCTTCCTGCATATTCTCTTCTAGTTGTAGATCTAACACTAAATTTATTTTTCTTTTTATTTAGTTTAATGACATGTTTAATAAGTTACTGGGTAATGATGAGGAAACCCAGCCCTGTCTATTCATTTGGGTAAGTTCAAATTATTTTATTTTCTGCTAACTTATTGCTATTAAAATAATAGTTATATCTATAATAATAAAAGCTCTATAATAATAAAAGTGTAATATGCTAATTAGACCCGACAGCCGAACAGCAGAACTACCGTGACGAAGCTGGGGCTGCAGTGGCTGTGAGGGCAGAGGCAGCCGGGGCTGGGAGAGCTGAGCCCCTTGCACGAATTTTGTGCATCTGGCCTCTAGTTAGCCAATAAAGAGCTAGCTACACTAGTTCTAGAAAACAAATGCTGCCTGCATAGTGGAATAATCAAATAGTGAAAGTAGATAGAAAAAGGTCTTGCAAGTGGATTCTAGATAAGAAACATGAATATTTAAATTTGTCATATTAAAATGTTCACATTATGTTATTTTCTATTTTATAAAACAAATATAGAATTTTCAAATTAAGTTCTTTAGTTTTGGGGAATCTCATTTTATTTTATTTATTAAATATATTTTTATTGATTTCAGAGAGGAAGGGAGAGAGGGATAGAAACATCAATGATGAGAGAGAATCATTGATTGGCTGCCTCCTGCATGCCCCCCACTGGGAATCGAGCCTGCAACCTGGGCATGTGCCCTGACCAGGAATAGAACCATGACCTCCTGGTTCATAGGTTGACGCTCAACCACTGAGCCACGCAGGCCGGGCTGGGGAATCTCATTTTAGTTATAGAAAGTACAGAGGAGCCCTAGCTGGTTTTGGCTCAGTGGATAGAGTGTTGGCCTGTGGACTGAAGGGTCCTAGGTTCTATTGCAGTCAAGGGCACATGCCTGGACTCAATCCTCAGGAGGGGGCGTGTAGAAGGCAGCCAGTCAATGATTGTCTCTCATCATTGATGTTTCTCTCTCTCTCTCTCTCTCTCTCTCTCTCTCTCTCCCCCTCTCCCTTTCTTTCTGAAATCAATAAAAAATTAAAAATTAAAAAATTAAAAAAAATTTAAATAGGAGCATACAGAGGATTTTCATGTAAGTGTGTCTTCTAGATGTTAAAGTAAATGTGATATATTTTAACATAAATGCAGTGGTAAAGATGGATTTTTTAAAAAATTTTTATTGGTTTTTTTATAGAGAGGAAGGGAGAGGGATAGAGAGTTGGAAACATCGATCAACTGCCTCCTACATACCTCCTACTGGGGATGTGCCCGCAACCAAGGTACATGCCCTTGACCGGAATCAAACCTGTGACCCTTGAGTCCGCAGGCCAACGCTCTATCCACTGAGCCAAACCAGTCAGAGCTAAAGATGGATTTTTATATTAAGACTGGATTTTTTTATAGCAATGGACTAAAGAATTTGAGTTTTCTGTTTCTATAGTTTTAGTAAATACTGAAAGTTGAAAGATAGTCTTTTATATTAGAGGTTTTAAAAAATATCTTAGCCCTAACCGGTTTGGCTCAGTGGATAGAGCGTCCGCCTGTGGACTGAAGGGTCCTAGGTTCGATTCCGGTTAAGGGCATGTACCTTGGTTGGGGGCACATCCCCATTGGGGGGTGTGCAGGAGGCAGCTGATCGATGTTTCTCTCTCATTGATGTTTCTGGCTCTCTATCCCTCTCCCTTCCTCTCTGTAAAAAATCAATAAAATATATTTTTAAAAAAATAAAAAATATCTATTAGAGCCCAGCTGGTGTGGCTCAGTGGTTGAGCATAGACCTATGAACTAGGAGGTCACAGTTCAATTCCCAGTTGGGGCACATGCCTGGGTTGTGGGCTCGTTCCCCAGTGGGAGGCATGTGAGAGACAACTGGTTGATGATTCTCTCTCATCATTGATGTTTCTATCTCTCTCCCTCTCCCTTCCTCTCTGAAATATATATCCATATATATATATGAAAAATATGAGTTCCTTCAATTTAAGGAAACAACTTGAAAAAAGAATTTTACTTTGGTAAAGAAATTCTTGGACCAAACTTACTCTTCGTCTTCACCATATAATTCTTTGGGATTATGTTCTTTTGAACAATATTAGGATTGTTTTTGTTTTGTTTTGTTTCTACTTAAACAGTGGGACAAAGTAAACGTAAGATGTTAATGCAAAATGAAGATATAAGTGTCACTGAAATTTGGTAGAGTTGGATTATTACTATGATAATCAATTGTCAGGTATAAATATTTGTATTTGAAAATCTGTGACTCTGACCCAAGTCTTTTGGTTGTTAAGTGACAGAAATCCAACTCACAACTAGTTCGGGGAGTAAATGGGGACTTTGATAATTTAGTAATTATGTGTATGAGTACAATAAGTGGTTAAAATCATGAACTTTGGAGCCAGAGTGCCTGAGTTTGAAAACCTGACTCCTCCACTTGTTAGTTACCTGACTCTAAACAGTTACTTTTTCTCTTTGTGTTTCAAGTTTCTTATCTCTCTCTTTTTTTTTTTAAGTGGATAAAGTAACCCTCATAAGGTGAGGTAAAATGAGGTAATATGTTAAGCACTTTGACCTTATCTAATACGAGATGAGTCAATTAAGTGTTAGCTGTTAATTAGATAATAGTTATTTCCAGAAAAATAAGAGCCATAAGTGGGTCCTGGGAATGTATGTTGTATAAATAGGCACTCTTTTTATCTGTATGTTTATTTTAGAAACTCCGTAGTCTGTTCTAACCATGGTTGGCTTATAGTAAGCACATATGTATATTGAATGAGTGAATGTAAATGTATTCTAAAGGTACTGCTTTGTGAATTGAAAGAATTTTGCTGACCTAATGAACTTTCTGATTTCAGATTTGAAAGATTGGAAGTCCTGGCTGTGTTTGCCTCCACAGTCTTGGCACAGTTGGGAGCTCTCTTTATATTAAAGGAAAGGTACATTTGTGTATGATGTTACTGTCATTCTAAATTCCATCTGTGTTACCTTTGGGAACATAAAGAATCCAGTGAGAGACAGTCTGGTTTATAGGGTATACAAATTAAGATGAATAGTGCTGGAGTTTTTTTTGTTTGTTTGTTTTAATATTTTATTGATTTTTTACAGAGAGGAAGGGAGAGGGATAGAGAGTTAGAAACATTGATGAGAGAGAAACATCTATCAGCTGCCTCCTGCACACCTACTGGGGATGTGCCCACAACCAAGGTACATGCCCTTGATCAGAATCGAACCCAGGACCCTTCAGTCCACAGGCCAATGCTCTATCCACTGAGTCAAACTGGTTAGGACATTGTGCTGGAGTTCTGATACTACAGTTTATTCATATTTTAGACTATTCTCCCTCCTTTTCGTCCTCTTTTATGACCTTTGAGGCTACTGAATCCAATTATAGGTAGGCTTGAATGAAAGAAAGGATTCAGTGAGATGTGCTGTAATGCTTAGTACTACAAACCCATTGAAACAGGTCTGATAGAGAAAGATTGACATTACATATTGTGGATAACGAGTCTCCTTGCCTTATTATTGCTAATAATCAACAGTTGGTTATCATATTAAAGATTTTGTGAATTTATTGGGTTAATAATTTGTTTAATAAAGCTTTTTAATTTTATCATTTATAGGACTTATTTAATACATTATTTCTTTCTTTTAGTGTAGAACGCTTTTTGGAGCAGCCCGAGATACACACGTAAGATTTTGCTTTTGACATAACATATAATTTACTATTACTAATTTAATTGGCATATTAAATAGCTGTTACTTTGGTCAATATTAGAGTTCAGAGAATGGCAGAATTCATTTCATTGGTATTTCACAAACAAAATCTCCAAATCCCAAGATTCCTTCTTTTCACCCTTACTGTTCCCAAGCCGTTGTACTGCAGAGAAAGGCCTCTCTACCATGGCTTCAGGTCCCTCATTATTTCCAGGCCCAGGGCAACACACTAAGCCAGTCCCGTCTGGTCTTCTATAATTTGATTCTCAAAATCTTTTAGTGGCACCTGTAGAAATTGTTATTATTTTCCATATAGTTGCCAACTTCACCTATTTTTGGTCAGTTTAATTCAGGACAGTCTGACCTGTCCAGTGTACTATAAACCAAATACCATTTGCATTTATACAGATTTATAACAGCAGTTACCAGTAAGAAGATAGTGTTAATGCTAAGAGTCTTTTTTTGTCCTGTGTATGGTGGAGTAACAGTATATAGCACATGGGTTATAGGGCTAGAAACCAAGTTCAGATTGTGGCTCTGCTAATATCAAACCATAGAAGCAGGCCACTCTGCCTTCCCATTTCTTTCTTAGTCTCTCTACATGCTGAAATTACATATTGATATTACCAAGAAAAAAATAATGGTGAATGTTATTGTTCTTTTTTAGGGGAAGATTATTAGTTGGTACTTTTGTGGCACTTTCATTCAACCTATTCACGATGCTTTCTATTCGGAATAAACCTTTTGCTTATGTCTCTGAAGGTACGATTTTTGCCATTAATAAAAAAATGTAATTAATCTCATAAAAACAAGTCTTTTGTTTGTTTTATTAACTTACAAGTCAATGAGAAAATACATTCTGAAGAGAAGAGAGAATTACCACAAATGCTTTCAAGTTTTCTTTAAGCAGAGAATTATAAAACAAAATCTAATTAGTTCAAGCTTTATTACTTAAAAACAGGTAAGACTGACATATATTAAATTAAATGTGCCCAACTGGTATGGCTCATTGGTTGAGTGTGGACCCATGAACTAAGAGGTCACTGGTTTGATTCCCGGTCAGGCACATGCCCAGGTTGCGGGCTCCATCCCCAGTAGGGGACAACCAATCAATGTTTCTATCTCTCTATCCTCTCCCTTCCTCTCTCTCTAAAAAAGATCAATAAACGCATATTTTAATTAATTAAATGTGATGAAAAATTACATTTATCAAATAACATGAATGAGATTTTATATGTATAACCTACCTACAAAAAAAAGTGTATTTCAAGCATTCTAGGAGCTTCAGGATATTTAGAATAGTTGATGTGCTCGTTAAAAATAATTTAATCCCGATAATTAAATAAGTTCTCAGGTACTTCTCTTTGGCAGTGGTAGGTGGGCTGGCATATTTTCATGTAACTAAAGTTTTTTCTCTTGAAATATTCTTTTATTTTTAAGTCTTTAAAAATTCAGACTGGTTATTTTACTTCAGCGGTGTAAAGGGTTAACCAGTGATTGATGAAGAGATGAGGTATAAACAAAAGTGGGCCATGGGCACAGACCTACATTTTGAAGCAGAGACAGTCGGGTCTTTTTAGGTCTCACTACCTTAACACCAGGATAATCAAGAAGAAAACTTTCTGAAATGCCCATTCAAATTTAAACGACTTCGTGAATGTCATAAAGTATGAGTTATATTTGTATGAGTGACAGTTTAAGAGTTTACTGCATGAACTTGAAAATTAAATAATAATATTTGTGATGACCAGCATTATTTATTTATTTATTTTTGGTTAATCCTCACCTGAGAATTTTTTTCCCATTGCTTTTCAGAGAGAGAATTTTTTTCCCCATTGCTTTTCAGAGAGTGGATGGGAGGGAGGAAGAGAGAGAGAGAGAGAGAGAGAGAGAGAAAGAAACACATTGATTGGTTGCCTCCTTCACAAGCCCAGACTGGGGATGGGAGCTAACCCGAAACTCAGGTACGTGCCCTTGACCAGGAATTGAACCTGAGACCCTTTGGTGCGTGGGTCAATGCTCTAACCTCTGAGCATACTGACCAGGGCCAAAATTATTTAGAATTTACAAATTGTTGAGATAGTATCATAATCACTTCGGAAATTTTAAAAAGATTCTGAGATTTACAAGCACTCTGATCTCTTTGTACAGATCAGAAAGATTCAAGAAGAGAAAGAATACTGATAATATCATGACCCTGAAATAACAACTGTTAACCTTTGTATTTTACCCTTTCATTTTGTATGCACATAGACATATTTTTGCATACCTATAATTGTATGGATTTAAAATTTTATGCCTTGTTTTTTTCCCAATTAACAGTGTCTAGAGAAAAAAATGCTTCCCTGATTTTGGGGATATTGATTTAAGCTGCTTATTAAGAAACAAAAGACTCAGAAAGAACCTTTGACCTTTCCTGCCCTAAAGATTCAGACTGAGAAAAGTGCTCAGGAAGGAGAATTTAGGATGGCACCTTAGCCTGATTTGAATTAAATCCAGTAAATAGGAGGGTTTCAGGCATGGCTTTGTTAACTAGAGACCCACTGTGTCCCTTGTTTCTGAGTCACCTCCCAGGTTTTGCATGTCACCCGTGTTCCCCTCTTCAACTACCTGTAAATTGCCCATTCTCACTTCTGAAATGTAATATTCCACTTCCCTCCTTTCCCCTTTGTCTAAAAATGCCTTATATATCCAGTGTTGCCTCACTGTGGTTAGAATTTTCATAGATTTATCATGTCTGTGAATTCTCCATGCACATGTATTAAACTTTTATTTTCTCCTGTTAAAAGGAAAGAAAAATAATGCTTTCATAATATTTTGTCATATGAATATTTTTACACATTAGTCTATTCCTATACATTCCCAGCTTTACTTTTTACAAATAATGCTCTAATCAGCTTTTTTGTATTAAATTTCTTGTATGCATGTAGGATAAATTCCTGGAGAAGAAATTATAAATGGATTAAAAATACAGTATTTTTAAAGCTTTGATATATATTACCAAACTCATTTCCAAAAAGGTTATCTAGTTTGTATTTTCATTAGTTGGAAATGAAAGTTCCAGAAACATCATGATTTGTGACGTTAGCTAAAATTTGAGTGGAAAATAGTATCTACTAGGCATTGTGCTAAATGCTTTACATAGAATAACCCATTTCTCCCTATAACATATAAGGTAAATTATTTTAATATTCCTATTTTACACTGAAGCCTGAGACATTAAGTCACCCCAGGCCATACATGTAGGGAAGGGCGAGATGGAATTTGAAGTCAGGTATTCTCGCATCTGGGGCTGTTCTTAACTGTTCTACTACTAGTATAGTGGCTTTTGTGTAAGGTTTGGCAATCTTTTTTCTTTTTTGTCAGAGTATACATTAAAAATGAATATTCTTAGCACCTGGGGTAGCTGTAAGAGGACACTTGAGCCTGGAGGCTGCTTGTCCAGTTACACTACCCAATAGGTGTCTTTGGATGTAGCCAGGCCCCCACCTGGCCTTTCTGAGAGCTGAGGGAATTAATAATTGGTGTACTTATACCCTATTCTCAGCACACTGCTTAGAAAACTTTATGCTTTACAGTATAAAGAGCCTTTAAAACTTCAAATTAATAGTAATAATGATATGTGTAACTTCACTAATTCCTTCAGGTCAACTATAAATTGTAGTCAAAACTGCTTTTGGTTTAGTATCCTAAAGGCGTAAAAGAGGGAAAAGTTCTATAGTTGAGGAGTAACATGTCCTTTTGTAATGTTAGGTGGATTGTTGCCAAACTTATTTTGAACATTAAAGAAATCAAGTATTTTTGGTAGTGATTTCTTCTATATAGATAATTTGGTATTTTCTTCTTATAGCTGCCAGTACAAGTTGGCTTCAAGAGCATGTTGCAGATCTTAGTCGAAGGTAAGATGTTATGGGGTTTCATGATATACATGATTTTAAAGGAATGCACAAGAATTGCGTATATCATGGAAACTTACACGATTCATTGCTGAGGTCGGTATATGAATCTCACAGATCAGATTCTTATTCCTTTTTCTTTTTAATATAAGAGAGACCTTTATGAGTGAGCTTTGTTGCCAAATCCTCTGCTTTCTTTAAAAGATATATGATATTAAAAGACAAGTCATCTTTTATAAGATTTTCATCAGTATCACATGAGTTCTGCCAGCTAATGAATACTCTGTTTGTTTTACTCACAGCGTGTGTGGAATTATTCCAGGACTTAGCAGTGTCTTCCTTCCCCGAATGAATCCATTTGTTTTGATTGATCTTGCAGGAGCATTTGCTCTTTGTATTACGTATATGCTAATTGAAATTAAGTAAGTATTTTTTATTTCTGTAAAGTGTGTTTCCATTCCTGGGGCCTGACTATTAAGTTCATCGATGGGATGGATGGGGGTTAAGCTTATAGCACATTTGCTTATGACCTATGTATCTTTGGTCATGTCTTGTCCTCAAGTGGCTTTATCTGAAAAAGTAAGGGAGTTGTATTCAGTAAGTATTTTTTTTATTACAATCTGTAATGCCAAATTAATTCCCTACTGCTAATTGATGAGTGGAACACAAGAGGACGATAGAATAAGAGAAATAAGCCACAGCTTGCTATTTCTGAGAGAGGGAAGAGAAGAAGTAGGTATGAAGCAATTTTTTTTTTTAATCCTCATTTGTTCTACTTATTGGTTGAATTGGTTGATTCTTGTATGTGCCCTGACTGGAGATAGAACCTGCAACTTTGGCTTATCGGGACTACGCTCTAACCAACTGAGCTACCCCGCCAGGGCCTTGCACATGCTGCTTTCAATGTCTACAGTCTCTTCCTTCCATCCTCTCACTCCTCTTTGCAGGCTCAGCTCAAATGTCACCTCTTTTTATATTTAGCCTTTTTGGATTATCTCTCCCCCAGTATCCTCGACACTCACTCCTATGTGCATCCATTCTCTATAGGGACTTCTCCTTTGCATGCATAGGGCTTTATATGTTTTCCACATGTGTTTCTCCTGCTATTCCAAAGGCAGGAACTAGGTCTTAACTCACGTCTCTATTCCAGCATGTGGGGGAAAGTTAAAAAGCGTGCTTGTAACCATGGGGATTTGGGTTTATCTTAGTAGAACAGCCTGAACTATTGAGATGTTGCACCTCAGAAGAATCTCACTTTGTGAAACTCCTGGCAAATTTTGAAAAATCTTAATAGTAATTATTGGAAAGTTACTATTTACAGGAAAACTAATAGAATCACTGATGAAATCCATTAGTGTCTCTGTATCAGAAATTACTATTTGAAGGGTTTATTTGTTGCAGTAAGTGAACATATATGAAATCTTCCTTGTTGACAAGTAGATTGACTGAAAATGCTCACATTTCCTTCTTCATCATCAACTCTTCACACTAATTCACATAATTATTAGTTGTTTTCCCCACTAAACTTTGGCAAGAAATAATTCAGAAAACTTTCTGTTTTCCTTTGAGATGTTTCAGTTGCCAGTAGTGACCACTTGTGATAAAATGGCCCTTTAGATAATTAATGTTCGGTAGACTGAACTGTAAGAAGTTGAGTGAGGTATACATTTACAATTTAGAATTAATTTTTCCTTTTAGTAATTATTTTGCTGTAGACACTGCCTCTGCCATAGCAATTGCTCTGATGACGTTTGGCACTATGTATCCCATGAGCGTGTACAGTGGGAAGGTATTACTCCAGGTAAGGGTCTTCTTTCAGTGTGCATGCTTAATGTTAGCACGTTCTTCTCCTAGATTGTGAAATTTCTGGCTTTTAGAAATGAAGCCAAACAATAATCTCTGAAATTTGTACACTACAAATTAGATTAAATTACATGGGCCCATAAAATAGGCACAAATATTCCTATATTTGTAATATAAAACAAAATTATAAATTAAATTTTTTTTTACCTCTGATAATGTTTCCATTGAAAACAATGCTACTTTTTAAAAGTTTTTAGATATTTATTTTCCTCTAATTTGTATAAATTTATTGTATAATCTGGTTATGATTTTCTTTTTTCTCTGATTGAATCAGTGAGAATTTTAAATTTCAAACTTAAAATTTAAGGGACAAATTATTAGTTATTAAAACAATGGGACAAGTCCAGGTACCTAGAGACAAGTACCTGAATGGAGAGGTAGTTTCCCAGGATTGGATGTGTATGGAAGCCTTGCTTTTCCTTCTGTCTTTACCTCATGCCTTTTCTTAAACTTACAGTATCTCCATCTGCAGGACCAGTAAATAACAATAAGATAGTAGTTGTTTAGTGCCATGCCCTATATAAAATGTTACTTCCTTAAACGTTTTTTGTTGAGTGCCTGGTTCTTTAAAGTTTATTTGTTCTAGAGATAGCAGCTTCTTTGTTAAGATAAGAAGTGAGCATGCGCTGGTTTTTTATGTTGCCCCACTACTGGGCCAGTTGTAACTTCTCCTTCCTAAATCATGATAGGGTGCATATCAAACAAAGCAGAGGTTAGTATAAGACCCAATATTCGTTTATGGACCATTGTTGCAAAAAAATTTTTACCTCCTTTGATGTATGTTTTATATTTCTCCCAGACAACACCACCCCATGTTATTGGTCAGTTGGACAAACTTCTCAGAGAGGTAAGATGGAATAATAAAATCATTTAAATTTATAATTAAAGAATGCAAAGAGTGGGTACAAATAATACTTTATTTAACCCAACCCTATCTAGAATTTTAGGGGTGTTTGTGTTCTTAACTCATTAGGAAACATAACATAGTGACAAAAGTAGAAAGATTGAGGATTGCTCAGTCTGGAAGCCAAATTCACTTGAAATAGATGTGGAAGGTAATGATTTATAGACCACTCTCCTACCTATATTAATGCTGTAACTTTTATGACTCTATAATAAAACTTAACGATTTGATTAAATCAACGCTCTTTTTTTTAAAAAATATATTTTTATTGATTTTTCACAGAGAGGAAGGGAGAGGGACAGAGAGTTAGAAACATCGATCAGCTGCCTCCTGCACGCCTCCCACTGGGGATGTGCCTGCAACCAAGGTACATGCCCTTGGCCGGAATCGAACCTGGGGCCCTTCAGTCCGCAGGCCAACACTCTATCCACTGAGGCCAAACCGGTTAGGGCAAACACTCTTTTTTAAATCTGTTGATTGCTTCACCATCTAACATTTTGATTTGTGGGTTTAGATTTTTGTATTGTTACACATTTCCACCTGCCAACTAATGGAGGAGCAAGAAAATTGAATTATTTGGATGTGAAAAGTGTTTTAAACTATTGGTTGTCAGTATCACAAAGGCCACTGTTATCAAAAGAGCTGGTTACTTGTCTCGGCGAGCGGAGCCTGTGCCACTGCACCAGGGGACCACACACTATGTATCTGGCCTTGGAATTTGCTTTTGACCGACATCCAAATAACAGTCTTTGTTTGGCAGAAATTTGTTGAAAGGGAATTCAGAGAAAGAAAGGATAGAGAAGAAAGAAAAGAAAAAAACCTGATAGCACAAGTGCTGGCTATCCATTTATGCCATATTGATAAAAAGAAAAGAGCCACACACTGTTGAACAAGGTGGGGTGGGGCTGTGAAGACCCAATTCTAGAAGGATTGGTGCAGACAAGAAGCTGGGGAAATAAGGCCTTGGCTCTACTGCACAAGCAGAAAGGGTATCTTAGGTAGTGGTCTGGCTTCTCTCGGCTAATGAGTGTCCTCAGGCAGGGTTTGGCTATGTCATTCCTAGGCTCAGAGCAAGTCCATAGTGTGGCTGCCCTGTGTTGGATATGTCAAATGCAAACAGCCCCATTTCTGTGTTTTTTATCAGGTATCTACCTTGGATGGAGTTTTGGAAGTACGAAATGAGCATTTTTGGACCCTCGGTTTTGGCTCATTGGTATGTTTTCTACATATTACTTTAGTTATCATTTAAAGCATACTTTATAATTTTCAAAACTGGAAAAAATTATTTCTTTAAAGTTTTCATAGAGCCTTTGATTTCTGTTTTTGTTCAGTAGAGTCTAAATTGTAGGTGGATTCAGAAACCTAATTGAGATTAATGGGGGGATGTTTTTCTTTTTTCTTTTAAACCAAATCATCTTAATATTGAACTGTCCAGAGAAGACAAATTCAGTCACACAACCCTAAATATGAAAATGTTGCAAAATAAGAGGTGCAATTATTATTTTTTAATATATTTTTATTGATTTCAGAGAGGAAGGGAGAGGGAGAGAGAGATAGAAACATCAGTGATGAGAGAGAATCATTGATCTGCTGCCTCCTGCACACCCCCTACTGGGGAGTGAGCCCGCAACCCAGTCATATGCCTTTAACAGGAATCGAACCCAGGACTCTTCAGTCTGCAAGCCGATGCTCTATCCACTAAGCCAAACCAGCTAGGGCAAGGTGCAATCATTTTTAATTGCAGTTATAATTTTGGAGATTTTACTGAATATGTTAAAGAGTTACAATAATACATCTTCTGCAGCATAAAATTTCATGTTTTCTCATCCAATATTGGACCTCATTACCAGAGAGACTTTATTTTTGTATCAGGAATGATGAGGAAAATAAAGAAAAGTACCCAGAAAAAAATTAAATCACCATTATCCTCTCACGTAGAGAAAATTGCTATTGATATTTTTGTATTTATACTTACACATTTATTCTCCTTAGAAAATGAGATCATGCTATTTTATGATTTGCTCTTTTCACATACCACAAACAGGTTTTTATATCACTTAAAAAAGCAAACCATAGGATTTGGTTTTTCTAACATAACACAGATTCCAGAGGTAGGCTGACTAGGGCTGCCCAACAGCTCAGCGATGTCATCCAAACTGCAGTCTTTAGTTTCAGGTTCAAGCTCCTTTAGTGGAAAAATGGCTGCCTTGTCTCTACCTCCCCCTACTCTTCCTCTCTAGTCATTTGGTATCTCAAACTCATCCACTAGTAAATTCTTCAGGAAAGGCCCTTGGGAACAACATTCCCTAAATTCCTGAATATTTATAAAAGTTGTGGGCATTATACTTGAAAATAATTTTGGCTAGATATATAATCCTGAGCATATATTTTGTTTCCTCGAGTTTCTTAAATATACCACTCCATTTACCTCTGGCATAAAGTATTGCTGTAATAAATAACTCATAGTCTGGTTTTGGGTGTTTTTTTCTTTATATCTGACTTGATCATTTTGCCTGGATGGCCCAATTTTTTTTTTTTTTAAATATATTTTATTGATTTTTTACAGAGAGGAAGGGAGAGAGAGAGTCAGAAACATCGATGAGAGAGAAACATCGATCAGCCGCCTCCTGCACATCCCCTACTGGGGATGTGCCTGCAACTCAGGTACATGCCCTTGACCGGAATCGAACCCGGGACCTTTCAGTCCGCAGGCCGACGCTCTATCCACTGAGCCAAACCGGTTTTGGCCAATTTTTTTTTTTTTTAATCTAGTAATTTTTCTAGAGTGTCTTGGTGGTGGTCATTCTGGGTGAATTATTTCAAGTATGTAGTATACCCTTTCAATAATGTTATTTCAAAACCAACATTTTAAAACTTTCAGGAAAGTTTTCTTTAGTTATAGTTGTTAATATTTATTCTGGTCTCTTGCTTTGATTTTCTTCTTTGGGAATTTCTGTTACACTCATTTGGATTTTTGCTTTTTTGGTATTTGTTTTATCTGCATTTCCTTTTAATATTTAAAATTTTCCTCTTTTTACCTTCTATTTCTCTTACAATATACTTGTGTGTTTATTTGCTTTTGTACTCCTTGTTTCGTCTTCATTTCTGAAGTGAATTTTTTTTTATTTCTAACTATCTCATTTCTGAGGTTTTCTAATTTTAATTTATAGTGTTCTCGTTTCATGTTTTTTGGCTTGTTTTGCTAACGTGTGGTGTAGTTCTCAGTTTTGTAGGTAAATCTTTCTGGTGATCTTTTAATCTGTTCTGTATTTTCTTTTTTTCTTATAGTAACTTTGCATGGGATTAGGATTCAGTTCTTTTCTATGGCTCCTTTTTTATGAAATTAGGTTTCCTGAACTTAAAAAATAAGGGGTGGTTTAAGGTAGTATGTCTAAATCCATGGCTCTAGAGTTCCCTCTTCTGCTGAGTCTGTGAAGTGAACGTTTTTTCTTTCCCCTGGCTCTGTTTCCCTTCCATTTGTGCCTGAACCTCTACTCTGCTGCTCAATTGGGATTCTGTTCCCAGTGGTTTCTTCTTAATGTGGGGCTTTGCTTGGTTTCTTTTGAGAGTTCTAGGGTTCAGACTACTCCATTTCTTCATATCTTATTGCAGACCCAGCTGCCTTTCTCAAGTTCTCTGTCCTAGATTTCCACTAGCACCGGCTTACTGCTTTGGGGTTTTTAGGTCAGGCAGATGCACTATTGCTTGCTCCTCCACAGAAGCTGATACCTTGCAGGTCTACCTGGTATAGCTTGCCATTTGGGTTTTCTTAGCACCATGTTAGCTAGTTTTTTGTAGATGTGTTCATTGGCTTTTGGATTTGCTGTCTTAGTTTCTGTATTTATGGGAATATTTGGAGCATTTCAAAGAAGTGCCACCACTGTCGCTGTCTTCCAAGAATCTCAACATAATTTTTAATGGCTGCAGTTTTACATGATATGAATATGACACAATTTATTTAATCATTTCTCTATTGGATTAGTTGATTTCCATTGTTACCATATAAACTGGCTGAGATGAGTATTTTTCTGGTGTAATCTTTGTATATACTCGTGATTATTCCTTAATAGTAATTTTTAGGCTGTACGCCATGTAAGGAGATCTTATTCAACCATGATGATGTAACCACTCTGATCTTGGGTTGGTAGTCCCTGTACCAGCTAAGTCCTGCGGTGGGCCTGAACAAATGCAGCCACACCACCTCATTGGATCTACACCACACAATTCACCTGGAATGGCTGGAGACCCAAAGATCCCTTCTTGTCTGAGATCATCCTGAGCTGACGTATCTGTCCGCAGGGAGCCTCAAGGTCAAGCCACTTGGCCCTGGAGCCTATTCCTTATGGATAGGAGTCAATGGCGGCCTCAGTAGTAGTGTCCCAGTGCTCAGTGGCTGGGGCACCCAGCATCCCCATTTGAGTGGTGGCTGTTCTCGTCCCTGTGAAACCTGTGCCTCTCCTAAAAGTAGGCAGTGCATGAGGTCCAGGTGGAGCTCAAGTAGGTGTGTGGGGGGTAGGGGTGCTCAAGCACTGGCACACTGAAAGGTCAGGTAACCCCATCATCTAAAAGAGTGCTGGTCTTCAGTATTTTCTTTTTAAAGATTAATGTTTCGAAGGGGTTTTTGTGAATAAATAATATTATACCCTTGATGGCTTTTGATGCCAGTTGCCAAATTGCTTTCCAAAAATGGTTATACCAATTTGCAGTCCTCCAGTAATGTAGATCATTTTTAATCATTCTTTTAATTATACTGATATCAGTAAATTAGTAGACAAGTGTTTATTAAGCATGGTGGCTTTAAACAAAAAGAATAGTTATCTCAGCTGTTCAGAACTTGGCCATCTAACAACTACACTGATGTATTGCCTAATCAAGACCAAGGAAATTACTAAAACAAGCTTTTGAGCTGCCAAGAATAGTTGTCACAAAAGCTATAGATTAATGCAAACACCATAATCATAGGAGACTGATTCTTGGAAATGGTTTCCACTTATTTTACTTTGATTTCCACATCAGGTTGAAAGAGGATGCAGTATCTTTTATAGTTTTGTATAGTGACAGCAGTGAGATGGCAGAGGCAAAGAAAAGGGAGAAATCAAAGCTGCCTTGATTTCTAGACTTGGCTTGTCTTACCTAAAAGTAATCAACTACAAGTCAAATTTAAGCAACATAGATATTTTCTCAGTCTTGTAATTGATGATAATTCTTATTACTGCTCAAGTCATAGACTCAGGCACATTCTAACTAAACCAACTGGCCAGTTTATGTGCAGTTTATGCTTTGCTGTAATTTTTTTAATAAAGTCTGAGTTTATCTAGAAATCAGCATGAAATAACTGTTGGGTATTTTATTATACTATATTTATTATATATTTTTATTTAAGATTTTATTATACAAATAGTACCCAGTTGTTAGAAAGATTAGAACTTACAACTAAGTCAAAAGGTAGAGAATAAAAATTCATAATAATTCTACCGTCTAGAGATAAGTGCTGTCATGCTTGATATTTTTCTGTATGTATGTGTTTTGATCAAAACAGAATCATTGTTGTATCTACTATTATCTACTTTAAAAACATAATATGTGGTAAATGTCTTTTCAGATATATAAACATACTTTTTAAAATTTTTATTTTTATTATTGATACTATTACAGATGTCCCCATTTTCCCTGCCTTTGCCCAGCTCCACCCAACCCCCATATCCCCCTTCTCTCCGGCCATCACCACATCGTTATCTGTATCTGTGGGTTATGCATACATGTTCTTTGGTTAATCCCTTCGCTAACCCTCATTTTAATGCCTTATGCTCTCTATGTTCCTAGTAATGTAACCTTGAGATTATCTTTGATGAGTTCATCTCCCTCATCCATTACATCCAGTTGGGTATCAAGTCCTCCCACTACTAACCCATGGCATATTATATGAATCCATCTGTGTCCCTCTCTGATCCCACTGTGTTTGTCCTATCTCAGACCTCTTCATTTTTAACCTAGACTGTTGCAGTTATTTCCTACATAATTGGCAATCATCCATACCTGTAATTTTTCTGAACTCTATTTTATTACTGTTGCTTATTATCATAATATTTAGATGCCTCTTCTATCCTTTCCTTTTCACCCCATTACCTACCTTTCTTTTTTATATTCTTTCTTTGTTTCCTCTTTTCCTCCTTTTATTTTTTTTCTGACCCCTGAAATATTTGTACTTCTTTATATTGCTTACTAGAGGCCCAGTGCACAAAGTTTGTGCACTCAGGTGGGTCCTGCAGCCCGGCCTGCGCCCTCTCACAGTCCAGGAGCCCTCGGGGGTTGTCCAACTGCTGGCTTAAGCTGGCAGTCAGACATCCTTAATGCTGACACAGAGGAGGGAGAGGCTCCTGCCATCGCAACTGCGCTCACCAGCCATGAGCCTGGCTTCTGGCTAAGCAGTGCTCCCCCTGTGGGAGCTCACTGACTATCAGGAGGCAGATCCTGCATTGAGCATCTGCTCCTTGGTGGTCAGTGCACGTCATAGCGACCAGTCGTTCCACCAGTCGGTCGATTTGCATATTAGCCTTTTATTATATAGGATTCTTGCCCAAACATGCCATGCATTTTAATTGCTATTTCCTAAGCCTGTCTCCACCTTTTGAACTTTAACCATCAACCCTAGATCATCAAATGTCATTTTTTTCTTAATGTCTTCCTCAATTTGAATTAATATCTCCCTTTTCTGCCTTTCTATTGCATTTTATATACTTCATTTATATTCTGCCTCATGTTATAATATGCCTATCTTCATCCTACATGGATTTCTCTTTTATATATATTAAAAGATCACATTTTATTTAAAGAGTTATGAATTATTTCATTGTTAATCATTACTAGGTAGTCTTTAAGGAATATCAAGACATTAAGTTTTCTCTTGAATGAAAGAGAATACCAAGTACTGTTACAGCGAATCATAAGTAAAATGTTCGTTTCCAAGGGAATTTTCCGTAGTGTAATTCTAAGCAGTCTCTTTCTTTTGCCCCTTTTAGGCTGGATCAGTGCATGTAAGAATTCGCCGAGATGCAAATGAACAAATGGTTCTTGCTCATGTGACCAACAGGCTGTACACTCTAGTGTCTACACTGACTGTTCAAATATTCAAGGATGACTGGATAAGGCCCTCTTTACCATCAGGGCCTGTTGCAGCTAATGTCCTAAATTTTTCAGATCATCACATAATACCAATGCCTCCTTTAAAGGGTATTGATGAGTCGAACCCTGTCACATCAACTCCAACTAAACCTAGTAGTCCACCTCCAGAATTTTCATTTAACACCCCTGGAAAAAATGTGAACCCAGTTATTCTTCTAAACACACAAACAAGACCTTATGGTCTGGGACTTAATCATGGACACATACCTTATAGCAGCGTTGTTAATCAAGGACTTGGAGTTCCAGGAATTGGAGCAACCCAAGGATTCAGGACTGGTTTTACAAATATACCAAGTAGATATGGAACTAACAATAGAATTGGACAACCAAGACCATGACATACTGTGATTTAATTTATTTTATGAGGAATATTGACTCCTTGACTTCCTTCCTATTTACTTAGTAATCCAACTTTGCATTGACTGTTCAATCATTTGTTGTAAATATTAGAGAATAGTAGGCTAGTTCATATTATATGAAACCAATGAAACTATATTTTTGTAAGATATAGTTAGAACAGTGAGAAACTTCTAAATGTTGTAGGCTTTAAATAGGCTTCCTTTAGAAAGTGTATTTCTCTAAATTTGAATTTTGCTATCTTTGGTTTTGAAGTTGACTACAGTGTGATATGAGATTACCTTTACAAGAGAACCATTTGATGGAGTAGATCTGTCACATTATATTCTCTTCAGTGAAATTTATAAAACTGCTTCTTGAATAATGATACACATTTTAGGAAAGGATAAAAATATCCATTCTAAAAGTAAAAAAGTCTTTTATGGCTTTTCCAAACTTAATTGCTACATTTTTCTTTGAGGTCTTCTGAATTATGTCTTGCAAAGTAAAAGCAAAAATTTTATTAGAAATTTTAGAATATATACTACTACCTAGTTTTTGTTTTTTGGTTTTTTAATATATTTTTATTGATTTCAGAGAGGAAGGGAGAGGGAGAGAGAGTTAGAAACATCAGTGATGAGAATCATCGGTTGACCACCTCCTGCACTGGGGATCGAGCACACAATCTGGGCAATTGCCCCTGACTAGAATCAAACTTGGGACCCTGCAGTCTGCAGGTTGACGCTCTATCCACAGCCAGACTGGCTAGGGCATATTACCTAGTTTTGTCATTTAAAAATTTCAATACATTTGTAAATAGTCCATGGTTCTCAAAGTGTTTTATTCTGGTTAATAAGTACCAAATCCTTTAGTGATGTGCAATAAAGGAATCCCAGTTTTCTCTCTTACACATAATCTGATTCTGACATAATGATGGAATTTATCTTTTTTTGTAACTTTTTCATTGGTTGACTTAATTTCTCATTTTTTAAACAAAACATATCAAGTATGTTACCAAAATATATGGGATTCAACAAATGTTATAATATGGGATTTGATATCTTTTCAAAGTTGCACAATCAGTTTGAGATTATATTATAAATTTTTACCAAAAGGTAATGGATCTTAAATTATAGAGTACAGTATTTTCAGACTTGCTACAGGCAGTTTTTGACTTGTTTTGTTTTGCTTTGTTAAACAATGAATTGTTAACGTGATGAAGTGTGAGAATTATATAGATTATTTTATATTTTGATTACTTTCCAAGTGCACATGTTAAGAACTTTCTAATGTGACCAATATTCCATATAAAAAATATAACAAGCAGCAATTACCAATGAGGTTATATCATGAGTTTTATGGTTAGGGTTTTAAAAAGGGATTTTAAGAGTGGATTCAACTTTTCTGGAATCCAGCGACTCCTAGAGATTTGTGACTTTTCCAGCCATTACCCAGCTATCTAGAGAAGATTTATGTTCCTGTAGAATTTGCAACAGTTTCTTCAATCAACTCATCCTCTTTTAAATATGAGCAACACTTCCAAATCCTATTTCTTCACTGTGGAATAACAAACATCTAAGAAGCCATCTCTATCACAAGTAGTTAATCCTGTGATAATAAATGACCATGTCCTAAATACCTTTTGCTTGCTGAGGAGTTGGTCATTGTCTTGGCATCTGCGACCCTGTTCAGGCATTTTACCTACTGAAGAAATAGAGTCCACACTACTTTGACTGTTGGTGAAAAGGAATAAGGCAACCTGTTTCTTGTCTTTTGTCTTATGTTCTCCAACTATTACTATTGCCTGTTATTGGTCTACCATTACAGGGTGGTTTTTCCTCCATTGACCTCATCTAAATGTGAATTCGGGTCTTGCATGAAATCTGAAGGACTGTCATGTGCTGAGGGATGATGATTCAGAGGTATGTGCTGCCACCGTATGCACATCTTCTCCATCCCGTAGGATGGAGAAGTGTCCAGGTGCTGAACACAGCTCTGTGTGAGGTTAAATGCCTACTTCCTCAACACCCACTCAGAAGCAACATCTGTGCAGTTGTCCTACCAAGGAGCTTTCATGCCAACCTACACTATTTGAGAAGTTGCCTGTGGGTTCTGAAGGAATTGGCTCTACTTGCTGAACTTCATTACTGCCATCTGTTATAGGTGACTTTGGTCCTTGCATTATGATATAACGTCTTATTTGCCAAGCTCTGGCCAGCTTCCGGATATGAAAACAAGAAATTTGGCCAGCATAGGCCTTTAGACAGTACCTTACTGGTAAATCTTGTCATGGAGTTACTTGAAGCTAGACAAAAAAAGGAAGTTCAAATTACATACTTGCCCCATGGTTTGTGATTTAAGAGCAAGCTTCATGGAATATGATGAACCCTGTTTGAGAAATCACTGTAATGGAAAAAACATTGGACTGGAAGACAAGAATTGCATTCCAAAACTGATACTGCCGCTGTGTAAGTAGTTTTGTAACCATGGGCAAGTCATTTAACTTCCCTGAGCTTTTTCATATGTAAAGATAGGGTGGGGAATGAATTAGTTGATCTGTAAACTATCAACTCTAAAATTTTATGACTAAATCTGTAGAATATGTGCCCAGTTGCTAAACAATATTGTACCCAGAATTTCTTTCCAGTGACTACCTCAACATATAGGCCAAGTGTTACCTATACCAACACCCAAGCCATTAATTTGAGGTGCCATGAGAATAGAAGGTGAACCGCAGGCTAACACCATTTAGGAATTAGTTTATTTCAGACTTGCCTCGAATAAATCTTTTAAATCTGTTTAAACAGATTTTTCTTAGTCTTCTTTCTTTGTGGGAAAGGATTATTTTTTTATTATACCTTGTAATATGCATTAAAAAACAACATAACACATAAAACCCATGGTTTCACGATATCACTAAAGATGAAATTTGAAGTACATGATGTTAAACCTAAGACAAACTGAAGAAAAATATTGAGTAAGTGGTACAGGAGGGCAATTTGGAAGTATATAAAAAACAAAATTATAAATAGCCTATGACTTTTTTCTTTTTTACATTTTTCTTTCTTTATTGATTAAGGTACTACATATGTGTCCTTATCCCCCCATTGCCTCCCCACCCCCCCACTCATGCCTCACCTCCCTGGTGTCTGTGTCCATTGGTTAGGCTCATATGCATGCATACAAGTCCTTTGGTTGATCTCTCCCCCTGACCCCCACCCTCCCCTACCTTCCCTCTGAGGTTTGACGGTCTGATCAATGCTTCTCTGTCTCTGAATCTGTTTTTGTTCATCAGTTTATGTTGTTCATTATATTCCATAAATGAGTGAGGATCATGTGATATTTATCTTTCTCTGACTGGCTTATTTCACTTAGCATAATGCTCTCCAGTTCCATCCATGCTATTCCAAATGGTAAGAATTTCTTCTTTTTTACCGCCGCGTAGTAGTCCATTGTGTAGATGTACCACAGTTTTTTAATCCACTCATCTGCTGATGGGCACTTAGGCTGTTTCCAAATCTTAGCTATGGTGAATTGTGCTGCTATGAACATAGGGGTGCATATATCCTTTCTGATTGGTGTTTCTAGTTTCTTGGGATATATTCCTAGAAGTGGGATCACTGGGTCAAATGGGAATTCGATTTTCAGTTTTTTGAGGAAACTCCATACTGTTCTCCACAGTGGCTGCACCAGTCTGCATTCTCACCAGCAGTGCACAAGGGTTCCTTTTTCTCCGCATCCTCTCCAGCACTTGTCATTTGTTGATTAAATAACCTTGACTCTTTCAATTCAACTTCTAGGCATCGATCACAGGTAAATTTTTACACACACACACACACACACACACACACGATGCTCCTATGTATTTTGTAATATCAAAACCAGAAAACAGTCTTACTGTCACAAAGGATTATTTTTGCGGGGTGTTGGAGTAAAGATTAGGACAAAGTACCCTTTGCTTCCATAGAGTAATGAAAGAATGGGGTGCATTTTTATTTCTTCCTTAATCTCTGAAGTCACAGTTGAAATTACATACATGTACCAGGAACTGAGGTGGACTCAATTTCAAGCCAATCTTTTTTGGGAGTCTGATCTGCTTTTCATATAAGAAAATGCTTTTCACATTCCAAATTGTTTGAATTAAACTTTTTGAATAAAGAACAGACATGGAGTTTTATGATTTTAAATAATTCTGGCTTGTTTCTTTATTCAATAGCTGTTTATTGGTAATTTAATTCTCATGTCAGGCACTGTGCTAAATGTGCATACAGTATATCAGTTCTTGTGACCTATTTTTTTTCATCTTTGTTGTTTAAAGTATTACATATTTCCCCCCATTTTCCCCATTGACCCATTCTAGCCCACCCCCAGCCTCAGGTCTTCACCACACTATTGTCTGTGTCCATGGGTATGCATATACGACCTGCTATTCTTTTTTTTTTTAATATTTTATTGATTTTATACAGAGAAGAAGGGAGAGGGATAGAGAGCCAGAAACATCAATGAGAGAGATTGATCAGCTGCCTCCTGCACGCCCCCCACTGGGGATGTGCCCGCAACCAAGGTACATGCCCTTGACCAGAATCGAACCTGGGACCCTTCAGTCCGCAGGCCGACGCTCTATCCACTGAGCCAAACCGGTTCGGCAACCTGCTATTCTTGAGACCAAGGGGACCTGGGATGAAGAAGAGTCCCCTTCAAGTATCTGATAATCCTATTAGGAATCATGAAACACAGAACTATAGCACATGTCATCAGTAAACTCCCACTTCCCCCCTTCTTTGGTCTCATTTGCCTGGCATCCTCTTTTTATTTTTCCTGAATGGTGAAAATAAGAAAGATTTCCATGCAAGAGGCCAGCTAAGGAAGTCATGGTGCCACACATCATCCCGATACCAGTAAAGGAAGAGGCAGTTTAGAAGGGGCGAGTTGGGCAGACACTGTTGACAAGGATAATTTTTAGGTGGATAATAGATTGCCATTTACTTTCCGACCCTTGGACTATATGAGCAAAGATTTTTAAATCACCAGGCGGAAAGTAATGGAGTTCCCCAGAGCATTCATGGGCTCAGGTTGCCCTTTATTTAAGCAGTTACTAGTTTAAAGGCACCTTTAATAACACTGACATCATCATCATCAAATTGCCACCCAACAAGCCTAGCTTCTTGCAAAAAAGTTAACTTTGATAACACATGGCCAAGTTTTCTGACTAATGCTGCATCGGGTAAAAATCTATTAGTACTGAAGTCAAAAAACACTAATTGCTTAAGGTTTTCAAATACACCCATGAAGGTAAGCCATCCATCACTGCTCACACAATTTCCTGCCAAATCCAGCTGCTGGAAGTTTTTCAGAGGGTTCTTTTCAAAAAATGCACCTGGTAAAAAATAGAAAGTAGTATTTTAGTTGGAAGCAAAACAGTTTTTTAAAGAGAAATGGCCATGTTTGGACCAGTGCCTTACTTTCGAAATTCTCTATAGATAGGGCAGTGATTATGGATGTAGTCCATTGTATTTACAAATTACATTATTTGTAAAGTGTAAGGGAATCTGGTAAATAGTAATTAGTATTTAATTAACCAGTATAATTAAATAATGTAATTATCCTATATAATAAAAGGCTAATATGTACCTAGCCCAGACGGTGGAACAACCAGAACAACTGGTCACTATGACGTGTGCTGACCACCAGGGGGCGTGCATGGACCATGGTGGGCATCGGCCGCGGCAGGATGGTGGAGCAGGTGAGCGGGGGTGCCAGGCCAAGGTGAGGCACCGGTCGCTGTCATCAGGGTGAGCCTCTGGTGGTTACTGAAAATTCTTTGCTCCCACACGTTGTGGTCCCACCTGATGCTCGCACCTGCTGCCAGCACCAGAGCCGCAGCTCACACCCACTGCCGGCACCCAGCGCTGGCCCCAATCACTCAGTGCCATCAGCGGGTGCAAGCAGCGGCTGCCAGCCCTGATCGCCCCTCAGGGCTTCTCCACCTCCCCCTGCTCCTGAGGGGAGATTGGGGCCAGCAACCGCTGCTCGCACCCTCTGCCAGCGACGGCCCCACTTGCACCCGCTGCCAGTGCCCGGCACTGGTCCCAATGGCTTGGCACCATCAGCGGGTGTGAGTGGCAGCTGCTGGTCCTGATCGTCCCTGAGGGCTTCTCCACCTCCCCCTGCTCCTGAGGGGCAATCTTGGCAGCAACTGCCACTCTCACCCACTGCTGGCGCCGGCCTGGAGCAGGGATGCTGGCAGACAAGGGACTGGGGGCTGCAGTGGGAGGAGCCGGGCGGGGGCACAGAGGATGAGCCGAGACCCACCCCTGTGCCTACTGCAGCCTCTCAGCCCACAGTTCCTTTCAAGGTGCACGAATTTGTGCACTGGGCCCCTAGTAATTAATATAATTTATAACAAGTTATTTAAAATAGCATCTATAATGTAAATACAGTTGATTTAATTAGTATAATTCCTTTATATTAGCAAACCATTATAAATGAATTATATATTTTTCCCTTTTTCTGACCCTTCCAGGAAATGGAAGATTGCTTAAAAATTTAAGTGCAAAAGATGCTATTAAATAGTCAGTACTTGCCGAAACCGGTTTGGCTCAGTGGATAGAGCGTCGGCCTGCGGACTGAAAGGTCCCAGGTTCGATTCCGGTCAAGGGCATGTACCTGGGTTGCGGGCACATCCCCAGTGGGAGATGTGCAGGAGGCAGCTGATCGATGTTTCTCTCTCATCGATGTTTCTAACTCTCTATCTCTCTCCCTTCCTCTCTGTAAAAAATCAATAAAATATATTTAAATAAATAAATAAATAGTCAGTACTTATTTTCAAAACTGGAGTCAAACTCCCAGTAATCTTAGATCATTGTCTCTTCTAAGAAGCAAACACTACCTGTTGTTTCTTGGGTATGGAATGCCCCTCACTGTAAACTTGAATAAGTAAGCCTCCTTCAGTGTCTCAAGATTTGGGTTTCAGGGTTGTTCTTTTAACCCTCCCTGGACTCTTCAGGAACCTCCTCCATTCCTTACAGACCAGGGCACTCTAAAGTACCTCCTACAAAGGGAAGGTAGATGTTCTAGCCATGACCTTGAAGTCAGAGATAACTCGCTAAGGAATGGAGGAATAAAAAAAATGTAGGTTTCTGGGTCTGGAAGACTGCAAAGAGCAAATCCACTCTGGGCCGGTAGAGGACAGGGAAATAAGCTTAGTCTTCTGTAAGCCATGGTGTAGTTGGGTCTTGTTATACCAGCTTAGCCTGTGTCCAGCCCAACTCATACGTAGGGCCTCCCTTTCACCTCTACTTCTCATAAGGAGCCCTTGTTTTTTCCTTATAGGTAGCTTTCTCCCTGCTCCTTCTGTCTCTGCCTTTTTCATGTGCTTCCCAGCATGGCATGCACTCAGTCAAAATGCTGGTTGTCAGTGTCTGTAAGGCTCCTGCCCCAAAGAGCAACTTCTTTTCTCCTTGACTAGAAGACCAGATTCCACCACCTAAAGGGAGCTTTAAAAAGAAGAATTTAAAGCCCATTCCACCCTCAGAGGTGAACTATTTATACAGGCAATCTACTAAGGTTTAGGAAAGGCATCAATAAGAACTCCTTGGATACTCATTAGAACGTGTGCAAGCACAGGAACAACAAGCATGATCTGAGGGCATGCATTCTGTTCATGCAATCTGCAGTGCTTTTGTCATCACGATGAGCAGACTGGTCCTGAGGGAAAAGAAATCTGACATTTAACGCTGTGGGCTGTGCGTGGGCTGTGGAGAATGGAAGTGGCTTGATCCAAATTCCAAGCAGAATCTCAAATGCTCTGGGTAGAAGGATTCCGATCCTTGAAGGGTTCCTGTGGAGAGCGGCTACAGTGTTTGGACAGGTTATGGTCCGAACCTGTGGTCCCACATGGCTAAGTGATATGGGCTGCGGGATGTGCAGCAAGTAAACAAAGCTTGATCAGGTGCATGTAATTGAGTAGATTCCAAACCCACGAGAATGTTGTCAACATCTTGACCACGCCCTTACTTTGCCTCCTGGAACCTGGCTATAAAATAAAGACTTGGCTTGCAGGCCTTGGCGCTGTCTCTCCATCAGAAAGGGCAGCAGCGCCCCACCCAGACCCAGCTTTCTTCTCTTGCCTGTCTTTTCTAACCCTTCACCGGGACCCCCTCTCAGGCTCACCGAAACTGGCTGTGCTGGCGCAGCACAGGTTCCTGCATCCTAAACAAAATTCTAGCATTGCCAGAGCTCTTACCGGTTTTTCATTCTGCAAACATTTTTGAGTGCCTACTGTGTACCATGGATTGTGCTTGCTAGGGGCTAGGGATAGCTGAAAAGGGCAGACGTAGTCCCTGTCTTATTGGGCTTACAATATAGTGTGAAAATATACGTTATAAATTAGATGGGTGCTGTGGTTATTGATTTCAGAGAGGAAGGGAGAGGGAGAGAGAAACAGAAATATCAATGATAAGAATCATTGATCAGCTGCCTCCTGCACACCCCTTCACTGGGGATCGAGCCCACAACCTGGGCATGTGCCTGATCTGGAATCGAATTGTGACCCCCTGGTTCATAGGTTAACACTCAACCACTGAGCCATGCCAGCCAGGCTATTTTGCCTTTAGTTTCACAGATAATTTCCCAAGTTATTAGGTCAATTTCCTTGCCCCTCATTCCCTGCAGTGAGATTGTTTCATAGTTTGTAATATAGTTAGGTTGTTTTGCAGTCTGCATTTTGTCCTCAGGTATCTCAGACCTCCTAAATGATTTTTTAGTTTGCATACATTAAGGTTCACTCTTTGTGTAGTAAAGTTCTATGGGTTTTGACAAATGCATACTGTCATGTATGCACAATTACAGTATCATGCAGAATAGTTCCACTGCCCTAAAAACACAGAGCTGCGTCTGTTTAACCTCTCTCCCCTCCTCCTGAGCCCCTGACATTTCCCTATGTCTCTTCAAGGCTTAATAGTTCATTTCTTTTTACCACTGAATGATATGCTATTGTGTGGCTGTACCACAGCTTGTTCATCCATTCACCTACTGAAGGACATCTCGGTCGCCTTCAGTTTGGGGCAATATTCAGTAAAGCTACTACAAACATGTGCTTGTGTCTCCATATTGACTAATGAAATTAAGTCACTCTTTCTTGAACAGTCTTACTTGATTTTTATCTATTTTGTTATTCTTTTTAAAGGATCAATTATAAGTGTTATTAATCTTTACTTTTCTGTTTCACTGATTTATATAGGCAGATGCTGCAGGTGTGGTTCTCTTAGGGGCAGAAATAGAATAGTGGAGACTAGCTATAATTATAAGAAATATTAATCATGCTCTGTTAACCGTGATGGTTCTGTTCTGATTAGAGAAAGCACATTCTAACCCAGGGGTCCTCAAACTACAGCCCTCGGTCCACATGCGGCCCGCCGGGTGTTTTTGCCACCGCTGCCTGTTGCTTAGCAGCCGACTGGTCCCGGCCCGCAGTGAGCATGTGTGGAATGTGCGGTGCACTCTCCGACTCCCCTCCTCCTCTCAGTCTCAGGTGTGATTGGACAAGTCACGAGCTTGCCTGTGCAGAGCCTACTGCTGCCTGAGGACCGAGGTAAGGACAAGTTAGGATTTATTTTTTTTTTTGAAGTTAGGAGGTCTATTTTTTTTTTATTTTGCAGTTAGTAGGGCCTTTTTTTTTTGAAGTTAGGAGAGCCTTTTTCCAGAATGAAACATCTGAAATCTCCAACCAGATCTAGACTAACTGATGCACACTTGCATCACTTGTTACGACTAGCAGTGACAAACATGGAACTGGACATTGACCATCTCATTAGCCAAAAGCAGGCCCATAGTTCCCATTGAAATACTGGTAAGTTTGTTGATTTAACTTTACTTGTTCTTCATTTTAAATATTGTATTTGTTCCCGTTTTGTGTTTTTACTTCAAAATAAGATATGTGCAGTGTGCATAGGAATCTGTTCATAGTTTTTTTTTTAAACTATAGTCCGGCCCTCCAACGGTCTGAGGGACAGTGAACTGGCCCCCTGTTTAAAAAGTTTGAGGACCCCTGTTCTAACCTGGCTGAGTGTTGTATGCCCCAGGACATGGGAATCAACATCGGAATGCAGTCCATTCTCCTTTTCCAAGAACCGCCTATCATCATGGAAAGATTAGCAACCTTGTTGCTGAAGCAATCTGGTCCCTTTGCGACCCCCAGCCCGCATTGCCCGTAACCTTGCCTACTTCCCCATGCTTCTAATTCCTACTTTCCTCTGTAATCTTTGTCCTTCTACCCCACATAAGCAGCTGGCTCCCATACTGCCAGCATTATTGCAATAAACACTCATATATGTTCAGCACTGTCTCTGCTTAACTGGCTCAGGTAGTGACAGGCAGCCCGGACCCATTGGTTGCCCAGTTTCTGTTCCAGAGCACCACAGCGAAGGGATTTGTGGTCTTCTTGCTGGTGGAGGGTGTTGACTTCAATATGTAAAGAACTGAACATCTGTGAAGCTCAACAAAGTGAAGTGCAACACAGTGAGGTACGCCTATACGTTTATGTTTATTATCGTGTGTTTACTCCGTGGGGTTTTTGTTGTTGTTGTTGTTTGTTTGTTTTACTGGCTTCTTACTAATAATTTAGAAAAATTCATTTTCAGCCCTTCATCTTTAATGTAAGTATTTAAGGCTATGAGAATTTTCTTCAAGCCCTGCTTTTGCTGCATGCCACAAGTTTTGATGTATAGTGTTTCCTTACCATTTGGTTCTAAATATTTCTGTTGAAATTTATCACTATGAACCTGTAGTGTACCTATCCGCCAAATTGTGTGATTTTCCCCAGTAGCCTGAGTGTAGGTACAGAAAAAGTGGGAAATTAAGGCCGATCCAGGCTTGGGGTTTTTCCAGGAAAGCACATGCCAACCACTGTATCTAATTTCATACCCCACATCTCATGTTCTCTAATTAGGCAGTCTTTCTTTCATGAGAGACTGTCTCTCATTACATTTGCTTCGTTATGCTACTGCATCCGTACACATATCCACCACTCAATGTCATTGCCTAAATTGACTGCTGCGACTGTGGGCCAGGGGAGTTTCTTGGGGGAAAGAGATGGAGATGGGAAGGGGACAAGGCAATTAATAGGCAGCTAGAGCTTGAGTTGGCAGAAGTGGTCAAGCATGTCTTTAAGAAAGTGGAAGTGCTGCCCTTGATGTTTTGACTCAGTGGATAGAGCATTGGCCTGGGGGCTGAAGGGTCCCGAATTTGATTCTAGTTAAAGGCACAGGCAGGGTTGCAGGCTCGGTCCCCAGCAGGGGGAGTGCAGGAGGCAGCCAATCAATGATTCTCTCTCATCATTGATATTTCTGTCTCTCTTTTTCCCTTCCTTTCTGAAATCAATAAAAATATATCTATTTTTTAAAAGTGGACGTGCCAACATTAAATTTAATTAACCTGCCATTCGGAGCTATCATGTAATCCCGCCTTTCACAGTTACCCACAAGCACTCAGTAAGTCTGCTAGATCCATAATTATACTGGAGTCTTCGGTTATGCTTATTTCTCTCATTTACATATGGAGGCAATAAGGCACTAGGCCAGTGATGGCGAACCTTTTGAGCTTGGCGTGTCAGCATTTTGAAAAACCCTAACTTAACTCTGGTGCAGTGTCACATATAGAAATTTTTTGATATTTGCAACCATAGTGAAACAAAGACATATTTTTTATATTTATTTTATATATTTAAATGCCATTTCACAAAGAAAAATCAACCAAAAAAAATGAGTTCGCGTGTCACCTCTGATACGCGTGTCATAGGTTCGCCATCACTGCACTAGGCAATTAAAATCACATGGCGATTACCACCTAGCTCAGTGTTTTTGTGTTTGTTTTTTCACCTAGCTCAGTTTTTATTTCATTAAGCACACCATGTCCCTCTCTGGTCTCACAGGCCAGGCTCAGAAGTAGGCAGATTAGGCAGCTACCTACTTAAAGATTTGGAAGATGCTAAAACATCTCTACCTAAAAATGCCTCTGTCACATGTAATGCTAATTCTACACACTTCCCAATGGCCTCTTTGAAAAGATACAGCCTTTCCAACACACTTAAGGTATGAGGTTACCTGAGAGGGGTTATTTATTAGCTAACTAATTAGTCTGTCATGGAAGCCACCTGCCTCCAATATCACCCAGAACAGAGGAGGGGCCTGAAGAATGACACCCAGGATGATCTGATTTGATGACTTAAGGGAGTAGATAGAGCAGATGAAGTGGAGTTAGGAATTAAGGGAGTAGGTAGAGCAGATAGAAGTGGAGTTAGGAATTAAGGGAAGGTGCTAAGAAAGTTGACTTGGGGTGCCGGGTTGGGGAGAAGGAATAAAAGAAAGGAAAATCCATAACTTGAAGCAACTTTAAGGAAGGCAAAACCCTTGTTCAGCCTAGGGACTTAGAGACACACACATCTCTAAGAGAAAAGGTTTTAAAAAGAGGAGCAGGTGGGGAGTTCGTGTTTAATGTGTACGGAGTTTTAGTTGGAAAAGATGAAAAGGATGGTGATGGTGGTTTTAAAAAGAGGAGCAGGTGGGGAGTTAGTGTTTCATGTGTACAGAGTTTTAGTTGGAAAAGATGAAAAAGATGGTGTGAATGTATTTAATGCCACAGAATTGTACACTGAAAATATGTGCACTGCAGATAGATGCTAGCTAGACCATCTGTGAGGGAAGTGGGGAAGGCAGGCGAGGCTGTTTTCACTAATCCTTTGCCTTAGATCAGTGGTTCTCAACCTTCCTAATGCCGCGACCCTTTAATACAGTTCCTCATGTTGTGGTGACCCCAACCATAAAATTATTTTTGTTGCTACTTCATAACTAATTTTGCTACTGTTATGAATCGTAATGTAAATATCTGATGTGCAGGATGTATTTTCATTGTTACAAATTGAACATAATTAAAGCATAGTGATTAATCACAAAAACAATATGTAATTATATATGTGTTTTCCGATGGTCTTAGGTGACCCCTGTGAAAGGGTCGTTCGACCCCCAGAGGGGTCTCGACCCGCAGGTTGAGAACCGCTGCCTTAGATGGTACAGTGGCCTTCAAGGTGGATCCAATGATCCTCACCGCCTAGAACTCACTCTCATGTATTATCTCCTTCTGCACTGGCTAGGGCTAACCTGGCTAATAATAGGATGCAGCAGAAATGACCTTCCAAGAGTAGATCATAAAAAACATTGCAGCTTCCACCTGGTTCTCTCTTGGGTCTCTTGCTCTGGGGGAAGTGAGCTACCATGTGGGGAGGACACTCAAGTAGCCTTTGGAGAAGTCCAGGGGTGGGACACAGGCCTCCAGTTGACATCCAGCACTCACCCACCAACCAAGTGAGGAGCCAGCCACCCAGGAAGCAGATCCTCCAGCAGCCCAGCCGGTATCTGGACGGCAACTTCATGACAGAGCCTAAACCAGAACCACCCAGCTGAGCCTCTCCCAAACTCCTGACTCACAGGAACTGTGAAGTAAGGTCTATAGTTGTTTGAAGCCACCACGTGTTGGGGTGGTCTGTTCCACAGAACTTGATAACTAATCCAGGTAGCATGAGGATCCTTCATCAGCTGCCTGGGGCTGGTGTTGTCCAGTCATTCCTATATCTCCATTTGTTTCTGGGATTATATCACAGCTACTTACAGATATTCTGTGACACCAGTTAAAGCTGCACTTACCTTTATATGTTTTGAATATGCAGCAGGTGACTTAAAAACTTCAGCCAAGATTGGAGTGGCATTGCTGAATTTCAGACAGTTAAGGGTAGAGAGAGCTGTTTCTACATAATATACCTTGTCAAATAATGTAAATACTGTACTTAAAATGCTTAAAAACCTGAAAGCAGGTCAGTGTTTTAAATCATGTTATTTCTTTAAATATATTTGTACAAAAAAAGGGGAGGCAGCCTGGCTGGTGTGGTTCAGTGGTTGAATATTGGTCCATGAGCCAGGAGGTCACATTTTGATTCCCAGTCAGGCACATGCCTGGGTTTCGGGCTCCATCCCCCAGTAGGGGGCGTGCAGGAAGCAGCCAATTAATGATTCTCTCTCTTTGATGGTTCTATCTCTCTCTCTCTAAAATCAATAAAAAAATATTTTTAAAAAGGGGAGGAGGCAAGTAAATTTTAAAAGGCATGAAAGAAAGGAAGGAAGGGAGGGAGGAGAGGGGGGAGGACAAGAGGGGGAAGGAAAGAAGAGAGAGAGTCAGTTTAAGAACTTCGTTAGGACCAGGTTCTCCTGGCTCTGTGTGTGTACCTACCTAGAATTCTAATCTCTGCATCGGTGAGCCTCCAGTTCTTCAGCCCCAGTTTGAGGAGTTGTGGGGCCCCCTCCAGTTGCTCCAGCAGTCTGGTCAGGCTGACGTGCACATCAGTGCAGCAGGGCAGCATCAGCACAGTGAGCTGTTCCAACACGTGCAGCCTGTCAACTGGAGGAACCAGAGACAGTTCAGGAACTGGATCCATCTCAAAACTGATGGACGAAGTGATAAAGGAGAAGGAGTGGTCTTCTCTCTGCAGCCTACTCAATGTGCAGTGAGAATCAACTCGTTTTTTGGTTAGCATTTTATGGAAAGTGTTCAAGAATATATAAACTATGCAGGATAGTATAATGAAGCTGTGAGTACTAATACGCCAACTTTAACGAACAGCAAATCATGGATGTTTGCTTTATCCTCAACAAATTCCTTCCCTTCTGTCTTATTCCGAAGTAAATCTCAAACAGTAAGTATCAGGGTTGTTTTTTTTTGTTTGTTTTGTTTTTTAGTATCAGATTGTTGATTTTTTAAAAAAGAACAACAACAATCAGGATGTCTTGATCACATCTTAAAAATCTTATTATTAACTCCTTGAGCCAATTTGTCTTAAGCAGCCCCTACTCTCAGACACTGGCTCTATAGAAGGAGGCAAGCAGGTGGGAGCCTCAGGTGCAGTGAGCATGTGAAAACTGGTGACTCAAAAGCCGTGGCCTGTGTTCCTTAAGGGCAGTTTAAGAAAGGGCTACCTGACTTCCTTAAGGTGCATCTTTAAGGCAAAATGGTCATTCTTACTCAGTTCACTCAGAGCTTCATTTCCATCCTCATCCAGGTGATTCTCAGATAAATCAAGGATGCTTAGTTTGGCCAAATTGTGAAGATTTTGAGCTGGAAAAAAAATTTTAATCCAAAAGAAAAAGACTATCAGGGAACTATATATGCATTTTAAAATATCCTTATAAGAATTCTGAGCCCTTGTCTTTTTGTTGAGAGTATACGAATCTTTATTGGATTTGATTAGCTATTCTCAAAAGTATCTGGCTACTCCCATGACTGTGACCAAATGGACAGATATTTCCTGGTCCTAAGTTCTGACTAATAAACTTCAGCCTAATGGCAAAATGGTCATTATTACTCAGTAAAGCCTAAAGCAGCATGGACTACAGTTGTTATATCACAATAGGAAAGTCACTCCATTTCTCTAAGCCTCCGTGTCTTCATCGTTAGAATGGGGAAGATGAACTAGAGGAAA